AAGATGCAGAGGTGGCCTGGCATGTACAAGAGGCCACCAGTAGAATTTCCCTTGAAAGAGGTGGCAGTGACCAGGATAGTAACATCAAAAGATGAGACAAGTTAGATTACAAGAGCCCTTAGTCCTAACTAAACATGCTAGTGCCACCTAGAGGTCAATGTGCAAACTGTATACCTGGAGTAGTACTGTGTACACCCAGAGTGACTACTTTCTATCTCCCCTTCTTAGACATTCAAATATGGCTCCCAAGTCCATCATCCTCCAATCAGAGTCAAAGCCTAGAAGGCAGAACTACTCACTTCTACCAGATGGTTGTCTGGCCCATACAGGTCTTTGTCCAGTTCAATCACCAAGGACTTAAAAAAAGAAGAGAACTTCCTCTTTTGTTTAGTGGCATCATATTTGGACAAGGCTGACTAAAGGAGAGAAAAGAAAAATCATGTTAGAAATGGCCAAAAGAAACTTCCCAAGACAAAATCCTATGAAAAAGGAACCCCAACAGCAATAGGAAAAAACTCAAAAATATCTTCTGAATATCTCTTAGGAGAGACAGGCAAAGCAGGCATCTGCAGGTATTAAACCAGTCATGGTAGCAACAGAACCCTGAAGGTGCAGCCTAGAACACCTACGGGGTCACTGTTTTACCCCACCTCATTTGCTCAAGGGAAATGTGGCAAGTTAAGCAAACCATTACACATAACTAAGCGAGTTTGAGCAGGGAAAAGTCTGATTCTAGAGGGGAAATGAATCACAGGCAATAAGCAGCCAGAACAAAAACAGCTTTATTTGGACAGAATGACACCACCAGCAGATGGACCAGACCTATATAGAGAAGGAGGCTCTGACACTGAGCCCTGGTTCTCCTGCAAAAGTGCATTCCAATTAGCTTGCCTGTGAGCAGCTAAAAATAGAGCCAGAGAATGTAAGGGAATGAGAGAAAGGTGAGCTTCCCCGAGGAGCTTCTGGGGTGGGAAGTTTGGGGGCTATCACCTGTCAGCTGATGCTCCTCAGGAAGCAACAAAGAGCGTGTCAGAGAAATCTATCCCACTTAAACTGCAGGGTGTCTCCAATGAAAGCTGGGATGATGGAGATACCACAAGGACTCAGAGAGGAAACATGGCCTCAAAATGAATGCAAACTCACTTGATTAAAAATAAAAAACAAAAAGAACCCCTAAATAATCTACAAATATGGCTAAATCCAACAGCCAGCAGCACCAAGAGGAAGGTTAACAACAAGTCAGATCCCAGGACAATAAGGTTCTCCAAATGGTACCAGTGAGGGCCAAAGGTGTGGGGGCAAAACACAAAGGACTATTGTCTTTTGTGCAGGGAACAGAGCATCCCTCTCCCTACTGCTCCCAAAAGGAGCTGTGAGCACCAGTTAGGCTTCCTGCTGACCAGACAACACTGTTCATTCCCAGCAGCTCCCACCCTAGATGCCAACCATGATGGACCTTGAACTCACATCCTCCAGGAGCCGTCCTTCTACCCGAAGCTCCCAGGAAGCCACCGTCCCTTCCCCATCCTCGGCATCTGACTTAGCCGGATTGAAAGTGTTAGAAATGAAAATTCGCAGCTTCCGTTTTTGCTGAGGAAGGCAGAAACAGGATTGATCGTGGGGCTGCAGTGGTCTGATGTTGAAGACAAGGGTCTCCCCAAACCCCAAAATTACTCCTAATAGACTGGCTTACTGTCTACCCAGTCCCTTGGATGGATGGATAAAGATTCCATTTAGAAGAGGAGTACTGGCCATCAGCCTAAGTACAACTGTATACAGTGGGATGCCAGGTGGACAAAGTCATGCAAAGTGCCAGGTTCCCAAGGTAGCAGAGCAGTTATAGCAAAAACATGGACAAGGGTATATTTCTAGTACAAGAGACATCAAGAGCCCCTCCCCCTTTGCCATTCTGTTCTTATCCTCCTAATGTAATTCTCAGTTTGTAGGCGGAAGGGAGAGATGCAATTTAAATGCCAAGGAGAGTTGTGCTGTGCCTTTGATTTCTCATGCTAAGCCTGCTGAAGGTTCCTGGGTCCTCTCCTTTGGCTCTCTGCCTAGTGCTTTCCTGTGTTACCTTGATAGGACGTTTCAAGGCCTCTTGGATATCTAGCCGTTTCCTCATGATAGTCTGGTCCAGTTTCCTTTCAAAAGCCAAGAGATCCATGTAGGCCTGGGATTCTGGTACCAGTTCACGAATCTTAGGAACAGAAAAATTAATGAGATCTAGGATGATCATCTCTACACTCAAACTCACCACACTTTCCAGAAGACCTATAGCCTGGACTCACCCTTTGAGGTAGAATTTTGTCAGCCATCTTCTTTTTCTTTGCACTGTTGGGAATACATACCATTATCAGGTTGAGACAGAACTAGTCAGAATGTGAAAATAAGCTGTCAGCATGTCCATTTATAGTAATGCGAAGAAATCGCAAAACTTCTCTCAAATCAAAGAACCACCACCACCACCACCACCACCAAGCATTCTCAAGGATCAGTCCTGTAGGACCATCTGCTAACAAAGCACCACCACTTCTTGGTTCAGGTACTCCCACCACCTGTGTCCTCCCAGGCCTCCTCCCTCCCTCCCTCTGCCCTAGGATATCTTACTTGTGGTTTCGATTTTGGACCGCCTGCTGCTGGACCTGCTGGATCTGCTGAGGGGCAGGCCTCTTGCGGGACTGGTCCATCCCTGACTGGGCCAGGCCAGGTCGGACTGAAGGGTTCCCCCCATAGCCAGGAGGCCCCATGGAAGGTCCCTGAGGTGTCATTCGGCTGCCTGGCAGCATACCGGGTCTCTACAGAGGGGAAAGGACCCAGAGATGTCATGGTTTCACCTGCTAAACCCCACCAAGAAAAAAAAGCAGAGGATGCCTGAGTTATTTGAATGAAGTAAGGTTTAGGGATGGAATGGAGGACAATGAGAGGAGAACCCTTTGCTCCAGTAGTGACTCCATAGAAAAATAGGGTCCGAAACGTAAGAGAGTCAGATTATATTGAAATTCTCCTCAGTCTATTTTGGATCGGACACATCGGACATCTCGAATTCCACATTTACTCTGCTAGCTACTATCTAGAAGCTGACCTCAATTTGCCAGCTACATCTCTGGTCCTCTGATCACTGGATAGAGCTGCTCAAGCCCCTTTGCACTCCGGCCCTCGTAAAGGTATCCCGGACCCACTTCACCCACCCTGGTTCTCTACCGACTCCCCAAGGAAACAATGCCCATAGGATCAGGTGCCTGAACGCTAACTGCCTCCCTCAACCCCCACCCAGAGCCCGAACCCCTCCCAAGGTAGTCCCACCTACTTCTCCCCCGACCCCTGTCACTCCCAGGTCCCGTTCGGCCCCGCCCCCGACCCGCGCGCCCCTCCTCCTGCCCCACTCACCGGATAGGCCGCTCCAGGCATCGGGGAGCGGTACAGCCCTTGACCCGGAGCCGGGCCCATTCGCACTGGAGGCCCCGGAGTTCCGCCTGGGCCCAAGGCAGCAGCCGCGCCCGCCCCTCCTGAGGCTCCGGCGCCGCCGCTGGGAGCCACAGACTGGAAACCCGCCCGGGCCGCCATCTTCCCGGAGCCGCCGATGCAGCTGCACAAAGAACCGGAACCGGAACTCCCCCCGCCCCCCCCCCCGTGAGCCCCCCGAGCTCCCGCCTGTTCCCCCGGCCGGCCGGCCGGCACGGGAGGCTCAGGGCAGCGAGACTGTGGGCTAGAGGGGGGCGACTAGCGGAAAAGGCGTGCTGGCCACGCCCTCCCGCCTTCACGGTCCTGGAGGGAAAACCATAGAGAAGAACTCTGGGATAGAAAAGCCCCGTGAGCGGGCGCCCCCAGGCCGACGGGAGGAAGACAAGGACCTGGAAAGAGGGACCACAGCCTCAGCCCGTCTCAACCCTGCCCTTACTCTAGCCCTCTGATGAAGAGGGGCTTGGAGTAATAGCTTCATCTTCACGCATGGCATTAACTTTCCAAAACGCTTTGATTGCTTTTCGTTTCATTTTCTTACTGCAATAACTGTCAGGGGCTGAGGAGGGAAACGCACAGTTTATTCCATTTTACAAATGGGAAAGCTGAATTCACAGAAGGTGAATCACTTGGCAAAGGTCAACCAGCAAGTTAGCGGTAAAGCCGAAGCCAAGGTTCCAGATCTCCTTGCTCATAGCCAGGGACTCACTCCACAGATAAAGTGCCTCAATAACTACCTCATGTGGGAACTTCAACCTAACTTTGTCCCTGGCCTAACCTGCTTCCAGATTATTTTATTATTATTTTTAGATGACGTCTCTCTCTGTTGCCCAAGCTGGAGTGCAGTAATGAGATCTCAGCTCACTGCAACCTCCGCCTCCCGGGCTCAAGTGATCCTCCCACCTCAGCCTCCGGAGTAGCTAGCTGGGACCACAGGCATGCACCACCATGCCAGGCTGTTTTGCATTTTGGTAGAGATGGGGTTTCTCCATGTTGCCCAGGTTGGTCTCGAACTCCTATGCTCAAATGATCCGCTTGCCTCAGCCTCCCCAGATTCTGGGATTACAGGTGTAAGTTATTGTGCTTGGTCTCGATTGTTTTTTTGAATATTAAAAAATAGTTTCGCTATGTTTTGCAGGCTGGTCTCGAACTCCTGACCTCAAGTGATCTGCCCACCTCAACCTCCCAAAGGGCAGGGATTACAGGTGTGAGCCACCGTGCCAGCCTGCTTCCAGATTTTATAATAAGATCCAGTTTATCTTGAATTTTGACCCTGCTCTCTCGCTAAGCATCCTTTGTGGTGCTGGGGATTGTTTTGGACTTTTCTTGCCTTTGACTCCTCCCTCTTTCCCTGCCCAGTGATTCAAACCTATCCTGGGTATGACGGTCAGCCGGTCCCATTCCAGAAGGACCACAGTCTCCCTACTCAAACCATCTCCTTACTCATCCCCTAATTGTTTGGCCCCAAACCAAGCTCAGCTCTAGGCACTTAGTGAGAATACCTAAATACTTTTCAAATAAGAGAACAACACTGAAGAGGAGATGGTTGAAACCCAGTTTATTAGACCAGAGGCATGCGTCACCCGGAGCCCTGCCTGCTGTTCCCCTATCCAGTGCACACTTTTTGGCCTCATTCCTGCTTCCCTCTGGGGAGGTATGATCTCTGAAAAACTCCTAGGAACCAAGAGTTTCCAAAGATCCGATAGCCTTACTCTCCAGCCCCAGGTCAATGCACAGGTGACCTGCCCACAGGTCCTGATCTGGGATTGGAGACCAAGACACATCTGGGGAAAGAAGGCCTGGAGAGGGGTTGGGGCTCAGGCCTGGGAGGAGTGTCTGGTGGAGGGAGCGGGGGTGGGCCTCCACCTCACTTGTCTCTCATTAAGATAGGGAGGGACAGAACAGCAGAGCTTTCAACTCCTCCTCTAGGCCTCTCTTTCCTCCCAAACCCACCTTGCCAGAAAATAAAAGTGGTGGGCTTGGGTATCAGTTGAGAAGAGGTGGCTGGGCACCCAGAAGGAGGAAAGGCCACTGACTGAGGACCTCAGCTTCTCCCTGTCAGCATCCCATTGCCCCAGCTTCAGGAGTCGCCCGTCCCCAGCTCCCTTCCATCTCTGAACGCTCGGCTTAGTGTTCACAGCAGAACTCCATCCCCTGGGTAGAGGCTATTTCTACAGCAACCCCTTCCCTGGGGATGCCACGGTCAGCTGGGCAAAGGGCAACGGGATAGAAGGAGCAGGGGAAGGGAATGTTAAGGCTGCAGGGAGAGCCGAGGGTGCCCAGGTTTGGGAAGAAGGTGAGGCCAGAAAGAGGCAGAGCTTGTGATTCACAGCTTCCTTTGTCGCCACTGAGACAGTGCAAAGGTTACAATGCGCGTGTCATCTCCTTGTGCTTCTCAGAGGGATGTGTGTACACAGTACAGACACCAGGGGAGAGAGTCCAACTCTTTATACAGGCGAAGGCATTCAGAGACCAGAAAGGGGGCAGAAACACAGAAGGTTGGAAGTTGGGGAGGGAGAATGGTTCTCAGAGACAAGAGGGGATGGGGTGAAGACAGACAGGGCTGGGGAAAGTATATACAGGGATATAGCAATATAGAGTCTGTATCATATAGAAATAGAAAATGCAGATGAGGTTGTTGAGAGAAGCAAATGAAGTTGGGGAAGAGGATGTGGGAGAGTTCCATAAGAAAATTTATGGACGTGGCCCTCTACAAGGGCCTCCGGGAGAGGGACCAGTGAGGTTGGGCACCAGCGCCCTTCTCCCTGAGCTGGACGCTAACCAGCCAGGTCTTTTATGGGATGGTGAGGGAGGGCTGCCTCTTGGGATTTCTCTCCAGCAGCTGTGGGGTGGGGGGGGGTACTTATAGGTATCAGGATGTAGCCTACAGCACCAGGGCCACATCTTGTCCCCGTTTCTACTTCTTCAGGGGATCCCCGACCCCCATGAGATTCCACATGGTGTGAGAGAGTGGGGCTGAGGTTTTAGTTCCTGCCAGGAGACTTGGGTCTGGGGACAGTCACTGGGCTGAGAGGGTCTCTTAAGGCTGGGGAAGCCGCCCTCCCCCACACTAGCCCTCCCTCTTAAGGTACATTCTCTGGTTTGGGGCCAAATTCCAGGCCCCAGGGATCCCTTCCACCCCTCACGGGGAGGAGGCTTTGGTGACTGGTGGCAGCAGAATGTAGGTGGACACTCAGATGACAGCCAGACAGACAGAATTCAGGCTGGGAGCTAGGGGAGGCAGCATGGAGGAGAGAGGGGCAGCCTGAGGTCCCTTGCCCCATTCTCCCTTTTTAGTTTTTTTTTTAGATTAGTTTTGTTGAATGTAAAAAGAATGGGATAGAGGCAGGGAGAGGACTCTATGGTCAAGACTCCTTCCTCACCACAGACAAGAGGAAAGATCTGCCCCGGAGTGTGGGGAGTCCCCAGGGCAGATGTGGGGGCAGCTGGGGGCCCCCTCCCTCTCCTAGTCCTCCCCATCTAGGCCTTTGGTTCAGCGGCCTGCGGGGCTCAGCAGGTAAAGTCCTCGAACGTGCCTCGCGCCGGATGGTGAGGTAGGATGTTGGCAGCGTATGTCATCCCGGCAGGGTGGCCCCGGAGGCTCTCGCATGGGTTCTGGGGGAAGGGCACAGGACAGGGACGGGTTATCCCTCGGAAGGGCCTCAGGTAGTGCTGGGGCGTTGGGGAGGCAAAGGAGAGAAGGTGGTGGCAGAGGCAAGTGGGCGGGGGTGGACGGGGGTTCCTGGGGCGTTGGAGGCAGGGGCAGGCCGGAGGGCGCCCTCGCTCGCTCCCTCACGTGTCTTTTGACGTCGTCCAGGCTGAGGGCCACGCCCTTGTCTGCGCTGCTCCTTTTGGCCTCCTTCTGGCACTTTCCTCGTCGGCACAGCTTGTGCTTAATGACCTAGGACCGGACGGGGCAGGTGGGCGGGCTGGGCCCCGCCCCCATGTGGCCCCGCGCCGGGCTCCGCCCCCGCTTACCTCGTAGGCGTAGTCAAAGAGCTCCAGCACCGTGAGGATGCTGGCCCCGATGAACAGCCCCATCTGGCCCCCGATGTCACCTGCGGGGGCGGGGTCCAAGGGGTCAGGACACGTGGGGGCAGCAACAGGGCTTACTGGGACTGGGGCAGGCAAGTTGTATTCTCAAAGGGATTGGCAGCCTTCGCACAGAAGGATCGCTAAGCCAGATTCCAGTGGAATTTTTATTTTCTTCCCTAAGCTTAGTTCTAAACGAGCAGGTGTTTTTCAGGAAAAATAATCATTTACAAAATACCACAACCCTCTTAGTTTTTGGGCGAATTTTAGAGGCATATGAAATACTCTCCACTTCCATGCCTATCCCTCCCTCATGTCCACAGACCTGTCTTTTCCCCTATGCCCTAAGAGAAGGCTCAGTCCCCTTCCTCCACCACTTACCAAGACAACAGGGTTTGGGGAAGGGCCTCTGGGGTGGAGGGCCCTCATGGGACAGAAGTGAGCACCCTGCTTTTGGATGGTAGGGAGCCACGCCATACCCATGGCATGGGAAGGGGACAGGTGCCATCAGCAGCTCACCCAGGAGCCCTGCAATCTCATAGGCCTTCTTCTGTTCAATGGTCTCATAGTTGAGGACTTCAAAGAAAATGTCCAGCACCAGGATGTTCTCCCTGCACAGGGGTTGGGGGAGGAGACCTAGGTTCAAGTCATATCTCTGTCTCTTACTAGCCAAGTGATCTTAGCAAGTCAGCCTCTCTGAATCTCAGTTTCCATGTCCAGAAAGTGAGATGCTGATGGAGATACCTGCCTTTTAGGGTTAAATGAGATGCCACATATAAAAAAATGTTCTGCACTGTATGCAGTATGCATCAAGTATAAGGCTACTCCGATTCCAACAATAAGGATGAAGAGGGAGGAGAAGGGGCTGCTTCCCCTGCTTATTCTGGCTTGATCTTCCTGCATACCCACCCTAGACTCTTCGCTTGCCTCTTGGACCTTCCCTGTATTGTCTCAACTTCCTCCTGCCTGCCAGCCCCCACCCCCATCAAACTCCACTCACACATTCCACAGTCCCAGCCCAAGGGTCTTGCTGTACCCAGCCAGAGCCCTTACCCTATGTATTGCTCAGACTTGTTGAACTTCTTGGCCAGGTACTTGGCTGAGGCTTTGCTGGGGATCTTGACCATGGACAGCTCCTTGCCATAGCGGGTCAGGTTGCAAGGCATTTCACACACGCAGTACTCCTGGTCCTTCTCCACCAGGAAGTCTGCACTCAGCCAGGTAAGAGGTGCCAGTTGAGTGGTGCCCTTCTGCTAGCACCTCCCCATATGCACATCCTAGCTCTGCCCAGAGAAACCCTGGGCCCCTTTATCTTTCCGTGTCCTGCCGGGATGTCAAACTCTGCCAACATCCTACCTCACCATCCAGCCTGAGGCATGTTTGAGGACTTTACCTGCTGAACCCTGCAGGCCACTGAACCAAAGATGTAGATGGAGAGAACTAGGAGAGGGAGGAGACCCCCAGCTGCCCCCTCACAGCTGTGTCCACCTTGTGCTAACCCTCATGAAGCCTCCCCATGGATATTTCTTACTTATATCACTTCCTCGGGGCCCTCCAGGGTCAACTGGCTGAGGGGCTGATGAAAGAAGACGAAGCCCATCCCCAGATGACCTCTGTTTATTTTTCATGGGAGCCTCTGAAGATGCTATGCTCAATTTTATTGATTATTATTATTTTGAGACAGGATCTTGCTCTGTTGCCCAGGCTGGAGTGCAGTGGTGCAATCTTGGCTCACTGCAACCTCTGCCTCCCAGGTTCAAGGAATTCTCCCACCTCAGCCTCTGGCGTAGCTGGGACTAGAGGCACTTGCCACCACACCCACATTTTTTTTTTTTTGTATTTTTCGTAGAGATGGGGTTTCACCATGTTTTACCCAGGCTGGTCTCAAACTCCTGGGCTTAAGCGATTTGCCCACCTCGGCCTCCCAGAGTGCTGGGATTACAGGTGTAAGCCATCACGCCTGGCCATTCCCAGCTTTAAAGTCAGACACAGGAGAGGGTGCAGCCCGGTCCAGGAGTTATCTGAGGCTTCTGGGAGCTTGACCTGAAACCCCGTGCACATGGCTGTCAGCACCTTTTCCCTCCCCCAGACTGCCCCAGGCCAGGGGCGCTCACCCAGAGCAGGATCTGCACACTCCTTGTACTGCTCTGGAGTACAGTATGGGGCATCCCCTACAGAGGAGAAAAGACAGTGATGCAGGATGGGAATTCAAGGGGTCTGGTGATAGTGGTAGTACCAAATAAAGGCCTAGAAGGTGTGAGCTGGGAGAGGATGGGAGGGGAGGACTGGTTGGCCCCCATGCTGCCCCAGAAGTGACCCATTCCCAGTCCATACCTTGTCGACCCTTCCCGCCCATCCCTGGAGGTGAAGGCAGGAACTAAGGTCAGAGAGACAAGAGCCAGATGGGTATGGGATGGGGTGGGGTGGGCTGGAACTGGGGTGGGGAGATTGATGTGGATGGGGAGCTAGTGAGGGGCAGCGGAGGCCCAGGGGCCCCAGGAGTGTGCTCGGAGCCTCGGGGCCTGACCTGGCATGTGCACCATGCGGCAGTTGCAGTTCTCCACCAGGTAGCGGGTCTCACAGTCGATGCGGCAGGCGGTGATGCTGTAGGAGTCGAAGAAATCCAAATCCGAGTCCATGGTAACAGCTTTGCAGGTGCCCCAGGGCGGGGGCAGGTAGATGAGCTGCTGGGAGAGCCAGGGAGCTGGGGGAGCGTGGGGACTTCTCCCCAAATCAGCTTGATGGACTCCTCTGACAAGATGGAGATCTCTGGAGTTCTGCCCCCCTCTCCCTCTGCAGCCTCTGAAGGTCTCAGAGTTTACAGAGCATTCTTGTTAATTCCATCACTCATGCTTCTGACTAGCCAGACTACCACCCAGGTCCTCGCTCACCTGTCCTTCCCATCACTGATTGCCCGCCACTCCATCTGGACCCCTCAACACCCCAACCCAGGACCAGCCTCCCATGGCCCTCTCACCCGCTGCTCCTGGCAGGCCACAAAGGTCTGGAAGCCTGGGGCCACGCCAAAGCCCAGCTGGTCGATGAAAGGAGGTTCATCCTGACTATGGATCTGCACTTTGATGCCTGCTTCGAAGGACGTCTCGTCTAGGGGAATGAGGGGTGTGTGGGTTGGGAGGCTCCTGACTCCCTAATTCCCTTTGGACCTGGGGGCAACCTACCTCTCCTGGGAATAAGCACAGCATACACTGGTGCTGGGGTGGGGGAAGTCTATAGGGTCCTAGTCCACACCCCAGCCTCCTTCTGGGTTTACCAGCTCCGTACTGCTCCCATGACCCCTGTATCCTACAAACTTCTTTTCTTACCTGGCGTCTGCTCTGCATCTTGGTGTTTCAAGTACTTTCTCCCAGAGTATCACTGTCTCAGATGCTCTCCATTTCTCCCCCCACCTTTCTCCCTTCTCCCCCATCTCTCTCTGCCCCAAGGCCCCCCGAGACCCAACAGGCAGGCAGCCTGAGAAGACAGGGAGTTATTTATAGAGTGAGTGGCGGCTGCTGATGGAAAAGGATGGCTGGTTACCTTGGAGAGTAACTGAGCCAGGAAGGGGGAGTCAGAGAGATACGAGTGTGGAAGTCAGGTCGAGTCAGTGATGGAGATGGTGAGATGCTGGGGGCAGAGGAGAAAACCCAGACCCTGCCCAGGTCTCACAGTGAAACCCAGGAATCCTCTGGCAGAGGCTGGGGCCTAAAGCCATGCGGAGGGGCCCCTGAGAGGGATGACGTACCGGTCTCCCCCCACACAGGCAGGTACTCGTCCTGCTGGATGTCCAGCATGATTTCCAGCCCATTGCCTGTCCCACCCTTCATGGTCTTCAGCCGCGGCCGCCCATCTCGGCCTGAGTTGAACGTGTAGCACTTTCCATACCGTGTGAAGACCTGGCGGGGGCAGAGTGGAGAGCCTGAGAGTCCTGCCAGCACCCTCTGCTTACCAAGGGGTGTTCCCAGCCACCCCAGCTTTGGGATCTCAACACCCTTTGGGGTGCAGCCCAATCTCCATTTGCTCCCCTCTCCCAACTGTTTCCCAACCTTCCTTGCCCTCTGTGTGCCCCGGAAAACTGTTCCTTGTAGGGAGGTTTGCCTGAGCTCCTTTGCCAGCTGCATGGACTTCTAGTTGTGTTTGACTGTTGGGAAGTATCGGTCATGGATCAGAAGGCAGGAGGAAAGACTGGGGTATGAGTCCTTCCCCTTCCCCAGCACTGCCCCCTCTGTAGCTCTAGTAGCAGCTTAGGCCCTCCATGATTACGAGCCCTGCCAGGAGGGCTCCCTGCACAGCACTGTCTTCTTCTGTACTTCCTTGGCCTAGAAGTGATAACGATTTCCTAGTACTGCTCGCTGCCTCAGCCCCCCTCATTGGTCTACTTAACCCTGCCCACAGCTCTGTCAACAGTCCCTTTGTTAAAGTCTTCACTTGAATCATCAAGGGGCTGTCTTTTTCCTGCCAGGACCCTGAAACATATGTATTTTCATCACCAGGATCCTATCACAGCCAGATCCCTGGCCCCTGCTTGGGACCGTTTCCTCAGGCCGAAGCTCCTGAGGCCTCCGCCTCCAAGACATCTCCTCTCTTTTCCTAGATTCCACTCTGGAAATCTGAAATTCTGTTTTCCCTAAGACCCAAACTCAGTTTTTTGTTTATTTGTTTGTTTGTTTAAGATGAAGTCTTGCTCTGTTGCCCAGGCTGAAGTGCAGTGGCGCGATCTCAGCTCACTGCAACCTCCACCTCCTAGGTTCAAGCGATTCTCCTGCCTCAGCCTCCTGAGTAGCTGGGATCACAGGTGTCTGCCACCACGCCTGGCTAATTTTTGTATTTTTAGTAGAGACATGATTTCACCATGTTGGCCAGGCTGGTCTTGAACTTCTGACCTCAGATGATCCGCCCACCTTGGCCTCCCAAAATGCTAGGATTACAGGCATGAGTCACTGTGCCCGGCCAAACTCAGTTTTTTGGGTTCCTTCAGCCACTAGCCCCTTGGGTGCATCATTATTCCATTATCAGCACAACCTGAAGGCAGACCCAGTTGCCATGCTAAGGATCATGCTCAACCACGCACCAGCACCTCTTCTCCCAGCACCTGGGACTGAGCCCCCACGGCATGGCATGTGTGTTAATGCTTTTGCAAAACTAGGAGCGCCTCAGAAGCTATCTTAGCCCTGGGGGCTGTCTCCCCAGTCTTCTCCCCACTCCATGCTGCCCCAGTGCAGCACTGGTCACAGTGCTGATTACAAAGCTGCAGAGAGATAAGTAAACCAGTTGCTCTTGGCCTTTTCCCCACAGCCTCCTTGAATGTCCCCAGGTTGGGGTGGCTGTGCTTTTACTACTGCCGGATGGTAACGAAGTCCACAAAACAGGTCACAAGGTGAGTCAATACAGCCCAGAGCAGGGGAGAGACAAAAGAGTTTCAGGCCAGATTGGAGCAGCAATGGCAGCAGGTTACCAGGGTACAGGGTCTTTGTAGTCTGCCCCTTCCTAGAACAGCCTCCTCCACTGTCCTCCAGAAAAGGAGACATACTCCCCATTTTGTGGGTGAGGTCCAGAGATGAGGCAAAGAGAATTCCAAGGGTTCCTAGTCCCCAGCTCCACAACCAGGTCTGTGACACCCAGCCACAGGCTGCAGGTGGGACACTTACCCATGCCTGCACTCCATCAGGAGCTGTATGGGACTTAGAGGTGTCTGAGGCCAGCTAGCACCCCTAGCCTTGTGCTGGCTCAGAGGACTGGGCTGCTGTAAAGTGCATCGCTGCTGCCACCTGGTGGCCTGGGTGAGAAGTGTCTGCTCTACCCTCAGGCCCAGAGGAAGCCTCCCTGAGGGCCAGTGGCCCAAACCCCCTGAATGCCTGCAGTCATCCCATGATGTACGGGTATGATGACACATCCTGCCCCTACACTAGAGAAGGGGTGGAGGACCTGGGAAGGCCTGGCATCTGGGAGCTGGTGGGGCAGGAGAGCAGTCAGGCCAGACAGACCCGGAAGATGAACTAAGGAGAGACAGTGGGGTGCCAGGTGGCCTACTAGCAGGGAAGGCCCTAGACACCTGGGTGGCGGGCCAAGCAGGAGGACAGTTCCCAGTGAGAGCTTTCCCTAGGAAGAGGGTCCCTGGCCGCTTATAGCTGGGGATAGGGATATGATTTAGAGACCTTTTTTTTACCCTCAAACACACACACACACACAGAGCTGGTGGGGGTGGGATGCCCATAGGAGGGCACAGGAAGACCAAATGAAGACTCACTGAAGTCCCTACTACAGGAGCTGCTGACAAGGGACATGAAGGGGTGAGGGTGGGGGAGGTCCCCACCCCTCTACTGTCTCCCTTTCACCCCCTTCTCTTGTACCGCCAGAGACCAGGCAACACCCACCCCAGCTTCAGTCCATGGGTGCCAGTCAAAATAGCAAACAACTGGCCAGGCACTGGCGTTCACCAACAGATCAAAGGTTGACCTCACAGATGGAGCAAGGTCCTGCGCCCTGCTGGACCATGAGCACGTCTTGGGAAGGACAGGTGGGGCTGGAGGACACACAGGGGCCAACTAAGACAGATGTGTTTCAAGCCTCTAGCAGGAAAAGCAGTACTGGTGTGGACCTGGAATATCAGCCCAGCTCCAGGCCCTGGACTCCCGGGTGAGCTCTGGCCTGGGTCAGCCAGGTGAGCTAAGGGGCAGCACAGTCATCAGCCCCAGCCCCAGCCCCAGGAGGCGACAGTCAGGGAGAGCCATAGCAGACAGTCTCGGGGCGCTGTGCCAGGCATGGGGCCCCACTCACCACTGAGAAGTTGTGAGGGCCACAGGGCCCCCCTTGGTAGGAACAATAGAGCAGCATGTCCTCCAGCCGGTGGCAGGAGCGATTGTAGAAGCGATGCAGGTTAAAGGGCTCCCCAGAGAAGGCCTCAGGGCCCGGTGGAGCGAGGGGCACCCCAGGGTCATCACTTTCATCCAGTCCCAGCATGGGGGCCAGATAAAGCAAGTCGGGGTAGCTGAGCTGGGACAGCCGCACAGTATTAGTGTTGCAGAGGGTGACCGCTGGGAAGGCCAGCTCCCTGGTGGCCACTTCGTTTAGCAGGGTCACGTGTGGGTAGCTGCGGTAATAAGAAACGCGGTCCCCTACCTGGCACAGGAAGGCACCCAGTGCCAGGACAAAGGCCACTGCCCACAGCACCTGCCTTGGCCCTGGACCCCCCTCCACAAAGATGTGGTTGGTGCCGTGGAGGGTGCAGCTATTGGCGAAGGCCACCAAGTCCATGGGTGAATGCCCCTCGCTGGCCTCCTTCCTCGCTGCTTCCTTTTCCTTCTCTTCCTCCTCGTCTGATTCTGAGTTGTCCCGCTGCTGCTGATGGTGGTGGGGACCCCAGATATCTCCCAAGGACCCCGGGGCCTCCTCTCCAGAGGAGAATGACATGGAGCAGAAGATCTGGATGGGCATCTTCTCCGGGGGCTTCCTGGTGCCAGGGACTGGCAGGAGGAAGGGGGAAGGTGCCAGAGGGGAAGGCAATGTGAGCCTGGCAGAGTCCAGCAGAGCCAGCCACCCAACTCTTCAGCCAGGTCTCCACAGCCTGGCCGGCCGTCCTTCCTCACAGGGCCTCTGTGGCAGTGTGGCTGGGCGGGGCATGGGAGGAGGACCAGCCTGCCCTGCCAGGGAGGGCGGGCGTCTGGGCTGATGAATAATTGATGGCAGTGGGAAAGGGAGGCTGATGGAGAGCAGGGGGCTGGAGTCCCTTTCCTGTCACCAGCTCCAGCAGCACAGAGAGGGCTTAGGATAGAGTGGAAACCCTGGAAAAGCCTGGGGCTAGGGCTCGTGGAAACTACCTCCCAGGTAAGGAGGGATCTGGCGCCATCCTTTGCACCCACTGCCATGACGATCACAGCATCAACAGTCCCCGTGCCCCCAGGACACAAACAACACACACTCATGCTCTCTGTCAGCCTTCAGTCTGTTCTTCAGTGCCCCCATCCCAATTCTGGGTCCTCTCCCTATTCTCCCCTGGTCCAGCTATTCCTCTGGGATACCTGAGCCCCCCCGTACCCTCCCACTGCGCACTCTCTCAGACCTCCAATTCCTCTCTCGTTTCCTTTGACCCATAATCCACCCAAGTATTGCATTGACCCCCTATTCTCCCAATCCACCGAGACCCCACTTCCCTTTAATTATTGCTTTCATCCCTAGCATTGCTTTCATTCCAATCACTGTCCTGACCCCAATTTACTTTTCAGTTACTCCCTGAATCCCCAATTCCCCTGCAATCACTCCCTGCCCCCAAGGTCCCTCTAGCCAGTCCCCACCCTGTTTCTCTTCCCCTCCCTCCCTGGACCCAGCTCTACTTCAGGTCAGCATTACCAACCCTCATCCCACCCCGCATACTGAGCTGTATTTTGGCTCCTCTCCTCTCCCTCGCCCCTCCTGTGGCTTGTGGGCCTGCCCAGGTTCCATTAGCAGCGGTCTCTCACTGACCACAGACTCATTTCTGACAGTTCCCGGCACCGCGGGGAGGGACCCTGTCTCCTGCTGCTGGAAAGCTTCCTGGCAGATCACCACTGCCCCTTTCAGCTTGCCCCCCGTTCCCCAACAATTTAGGAGCTTGAGGAATTCTCTGGTGGGTAGAAGAAACAGATCAGTGCTGGGCTAGGCGGGGGAACCTGGGTCAGGAAGAGAGTATTGGGAGCCAACTTGGGGTTCCCCCCAAAACCCTCAGCCTTGCAGACTCCCGGCCTCTCAGTCTCTGAGGCTCCCCTGCCCCTAATTTACCATTCCCTGCCCCCAGGCCTCTGGGCCCTCTGTGTCCTCTGATTACTCAGGGCCACTGGTTGAGGAACTTGAGCCATCAGCCAAGTCTCCAGGGCCAAGAAGGTGATCTGAGGGGAGGAGCGGAAGGGGGGCAGAGGGGAGG